CAGGACTCATACATATATAAACATATGTGGGCAGTTTCGGCTATGACACATGTATGTATATGGGTGGTGTTATATCTATACATACGCATTTGTATGTTGAAATGTTGAAATTTAAACATTGGAAGTGTGGCGGAAATGTCTCGAAATGTCTCGTGAATGTATACATGTCATATTATATGTATTTTCCGCTGAAAAATATTTCCTCGCATGTATATGTATATACGTGTGGTGGGGTTTGTGTAAAATTATGATAGGTAAAAAAATTATTATTAATTTTAAATTGAAAAAAAAAAAAAAAAATGGGGCTTTATTTGTTATATTTAAAGCTGGTTATTTGTTTGTTTTTTGGTGACTGTGTATATGTAACAGGTAGAAATTTGTAATCCTTATTGGTTAATTTATATGGTGATGTTTAGTTTAATATTCAATGTGCTGGATGAGATATAGTTCAATTTAATAACGGGTCTATATGGTATGATGTGATAGTAATGTTTCAAGGGATTGGAGACAATGATATTTAGCTAATAGTTATTGTAAATTGGTAGAAATTATAAATTGGTAGAAATGATTAGTAACGGTGGTGGGAGAATGATAAAACCATGAATGTACTTATAGTGGTGATAAATTTGAACTAAGAAGTGGTTGTTGGTGTTTTATTTTATTTTGTTTTATTTTTTGTTATATGTATTAATTTATTTTGGTATAAATCCTGATAATAGGTATTCTGTGTAAAATTATGGTAGTTGGAGATTGCTATAATTTTTAATATTTTAATTACAAAATTATTATTGTTATTATATTAAAGCTACCTGGTAATAGGTGTTTATTCTCATGGTTACATATGGAAATTATATCTGATCATATTGTATTAAGGTATTAAATATGCTGGGGGAGTAATAAAGATTGTAGTGGATTTATGTTAATAGTGGGTGTGATGTGTAAGTGATGGTGCTAAAGTGTTGGTGGTAATGATAATATTGTTAGTTAAATGGTATTGTAGTAAAAAGTGATTACTAATGGTGGTGCAATTATAATAATGATAGATGCAATTATTTTGATGGTATCTTGAAATTAAATTGTGATTGTTGGTGGTTTGTTTGTTTTATCGTTTGGTATGAATTCGGATAATAGGTAATTTGTTCTCATGCCTACATTTGGAGATTATCTCTGATTTTTTGTTTAGTAAGTTCTTTTGCGGTTTGTGTGATATTATTGCTACTTTTTTTTGTGTAGGCAAAGTAGGCATTTTTTTCGTAATGTTGTTGTATGCAGGAGCTTTTTTCAATATTTCCCAACTTATTGTTGGTGTGATGTTTTTTGTTTTTTTGCTGCCATATGTATGTAGAAAGTGTTGTGCTGTTCGAATATTTCCTGTTGTTGAATGAAAGGTTGTGATTGTTATTCCTCATTTTGAATGAAAAAAAAAGTGGCACCGATGTAGTACATAGTGTTGTTGTTTGTACTTACCTTGGCCATGTATATAGTGTTCATAAGTTGGCAATTTCCTGGAGTGGACATGTTGTTCTGTTTCTGCAGTTGCATATTGGATCCTTGGTTATATTTTGTAGGTTGTCATTTTTTTTGTTGTGGCTTTTAATTATTTATGTTATATTTTTTTGTACAGCTGTAGCTGATCTTTACGTTATTTTTGTTAAATATTTTTGATAGTTTGTTTTCCAGATTTTGAAGTGTTTTTCTATTAAGTTTAGGAATATTTTGCCTATGTTCGCTTTTTAACAGTTTTGTTATATGGTGGATTAAACCAGATAATGCTTCTCTTTCTGTTTCTGCGTTTTGGCTGTGGAGGATATATATTGTAGTTGTTTGTAACCACTTTTTTTTAGTGCTTCGTTGTATGGCATTTTTTACTATTGAAAATGTGTATGTTAGATGAGTTCTCAGATAGTCTGCGGCTGATTGATTTTTTGGTATTTGTTTGATGATAGAAGGTGGATGGTTGGAGGATGTGTGTACGTAAGTTGGGGTGTCATTTTTTTTTTTGTATGGTTCGTATGTGTTGTTGATCAGGTTAAGAGTGAAATCAAGGAAGTTTACTATTGTTGTGCCTGTATTTATCTCTATTTTGAATCCAATGTTTTTTAGGGCGTTCACTATTTTCTTCCTGAATTTGTCTACTTTGGGGCCATTGGGTAATTTTATTAAGATAAGACCATCATCTCTGTATAATCCTGTGTCCTTTTTCTCCAGGATTCTGGCCAGGTATGATAGGATGAGTATGCCTACTAATTTCAGATATTTCTGCTCCATCGTAGCTGCCCATTGTTAAATCAAACAGGTTTTTGGTTTTGTTTCTTTACCCATGGTTCATTGTTGTGGAACAGCAGGGATTTTTCGGCAATGCTTGATTATTTTATATCACCATCCGTTAGTTTTACATTTAGCTGTGCCTTTAGTTGTATGGCTTCATTTAATATGCTGTCTGTGATGGAAGGATAAAAATCCACAATGTCAAATTGGATGAAAGTGGATTTATTTTTGTTGTCTATCATTTTAAACCACTCTATGACGGCTTTGGTGTTCTTCCACTGGTTGAGACATGCTACTAACAAGCAGAAATTTTTTTTCTCCTGATGATGGCCATGCTGGCTGAAACTAGTCATGGAATCTAATTGAAATAATAAAACAAAAAAATATTAATACCCAGTCTGTCTGAAAATTTTAATTTTTTAATTTCTCAATATTTTTTATTTAACTTAGATATGGATAGGAATCCAACCATATAAAATAAAGAACAAGTAAGAAACATGTCTTTAATCTGACATATTTCACCTATATTAAGCTTCCATCAGAGATTGAGAATAAAAATGAAAAAGTACAGAGTACTGGAATGTTGTGATTTTTTGGTTAGTTCTCATTGATCAGACACATATTGTGTGTGATAATATAAGAGTGTGTATGTCTAGGTGTATGTTTAGCAGTAATGTTAATTCATGTAAGTGTGTGTGTGTGTGTATGAGAGAGGAATGTCTATAGATATCACACTCATATATGTTAGTGAAATGTAACAATATGTTGCAATAATTTTGTATTTAACTGGATTTTTATATTCTCATGTAAGTGTATGTGTGGTGAATATCTGAGTTCGTCAACTCTGTGTGGATTGGTGAAATGAAGTAAGATACCATATTTTGGTTGGATTTATTATTAAAGTATTTCTCATTCATATTTCTTAAAAGGATTTGTAAATTTTCATTATTTTATATAATAGAATTTAGATTCATGAATAATAGGTCTGTAGAGAGATGGTGACGTGGCATTTTAAGCAAGTGTTTAAAGTTAGTAGTAATGCTATAAATATCAACATATTGCTACATTTAATGACATACGAGGGTGACATCTATAGACATTTCTCACGCACACATATATATTTATAGTGATTTTCCAAGCATAGCCAGTGGTGGTTGAACTCATTACTCAGTCGTAATTGTTCTAGCGAGACAAGCTTGCTAACCATTACACCACCTCAAGGTGCCCACACTTATATATTTATATGGATTAATGTTACCATCTAACATACACCTAGACACACAAGTGTTTCTTTACTTACACACTCTTACATTATCAAACATTTTAACATCTTAAATATTCCTGGCACATATTTATATATTATCTATTGCATTTATACATGTGATGTGTCTCTGACCAATGAGAACTACCAAAAATCATAACATTCCACTAGTCTGTCTCTTTGCTTTTGTCATTTTTATCTCGGTCACCGATGAAGGTTTAATAAAGGTGAAACGTTATATTGAGATTCATTTCCTACTTTTCTTTATTTTATTTCATATATAAGAGACATTGACAGTTCTTATTTTGGCAACTGTAAGAAATGTTAAAAAAATACCAAAATATTTGGACAAAATTTTGTTAACATTATTTACTGGATATCCTTATAAATCTTTTACATATATTATTTACTAGCAGTAGAGCCCGGCGTTGCCCAGGGATGTAACAGTAAGAGATAGATCAAGTATCGACCATCATAAAGACTGAAAAATAAAATTGACAAAGATTATTGTTTAAGGTTGACGGACACGCATGTCTTAAATAGTTTTTTTTTTTTTTTTTTATGAATTGGTCAAACCCAAACTCAAACAAAAGCATTGTTTTCAATTGTTATGAGTCTACTGACTGAATAGAATTTTATTAGAAACAATTGTCTTGTAAATGGAATTTTTAAAGCATTCTGAATGTAAAAATAAAGAAAAAAGTGTGCAAGATACTAAGAAACACTACCTGCTAAAAAAAGTGAAGTTTTGTTGAAATCAGTTGAAAAATGTAGGAAATCCGATCCTATATATAAACGAACACACACACACTCACAAACAACTTGGGTTTTATAATAAGTATAACTCGATATGAGTTGTCCCCCTTTCATTCTCAACAGCGATGCCTCTTAATTGTGTTTTCAAATTGATTTTGTGCAAAACAATTGTTTTTTTCCAATTTTTGGCGCTGTCAGAACCACTGCAAGGTAATTTTACGTAGTCCTGTGAAGTTTTGTTGAAATCGGTTGAAAAATGTAGGAAATCCCATCCAATATATAAACGAAACACACACACACACACACACACACACAACCTGGGTTTTATAATAAGTATGATGATAGTTTGCATATATCTTTAATCTGCCAGTATTAACTCTGTGTTAGTCACTTTCCCGAGATTTCCCGAAATGGATAGTTCCCCGGTGTCTATCTACCATGCAAACTGAGCAACACTGCATGCTATATACCCTCACTATCAGGAGGATAAGCAAAAGTAACAAGTTGCCAACTAAGTACTTTAAAAATTTGCTAGATAACAAAACGCCTCATGTGACTAATGAAGGGTTAAGGATGTCAAAGTAATTCAAAGATTTTGAACAATTGGGCTTCTTTTGAATTCAATTTTCCAAAAATCTCTGATAATGACTCCTTTCAAAATTATAATGTCAAAGTAATACACATTATTTTTTTTTTTTTTTTTTTTTTTTTTCAGGCCAATGAAACAGGTCACACAGCTAGCCGATTACATATTTTATTTTTATTTTTTGCATCTGTGATGTTTGGTTTGAGTTTAATCTCTTTGTTTGGGTATCATATATTCCTCATTTTACATAACAGAACAACTCTAGGTAAGTAATTTATTTCTCTTCATGGTATACAATTTATATAAGCAATTTTTGTACATGTTTGAATTTGAATTCAAAAGTAAATCACACTTGACTTTTCAAATTATTTTGAATGTAGTTTTTCTGGGTGGGTTTAGATGTTCATATTTATTTTACCCAAAATTAAAGCATTTACTCAAACTGACTGATAATAATTATATTTTTAGTAAGGTTTTATTTCACTAAATTGAATTTCTTTGAAGACTTATCTCGGAAATTGTACCAGTTTTATGGATTGATTATGTGCTTTTTTTATTTTATTATTTTTACACAGATACAATTTGATTAAATGTTATATACCATTTTCAAAAATTCTTTGAACATTTTAATTTTTTTTTCTGTGCTACATTTTTGTTGGTTTTGTCAGCTTTGTACATATATATATATATATATATATATATATAAACGTTAAATATTAAAGCATTTCTTTTTTAATAATGTTTAGTTATTAGTTAACTTGATATTCAACCATTATTTTTATTTTTTTATTTTTTTTCTAACATTCTCTTATCTCTGCTGTTTTTATATATAAGAATTTTAGAATAGATTTTTTTATTAACCTGACAGATTTTTATCACTTCAAACGTTATTTTGAGTGGGTGCTCCATTTAGAGATTCTATGATAGTAAGGATTTCACTTGAAGGGACTATATTTGGTCTCACCTGATCAATTTTTCTTCATGGCTAAGTTGGTTAAGGTGTACCAAGCATAATAGTAACTTTCTCTGCCCTAGAGAACACTGGTTCAAATCCTACAAGAGTACAAATTTCTCTTTAATAAGATTTCTCAAATATTCAGGTCAGTAAATGAAAATAAATATACTGTTTAATAAATAAATGAAGTGCCTACTTAAATATGAGTATCCATTAAAAATAACAGTAATAAAAATATATATTTTACTATAAGAAAATTCATCTTTTTTATTTCATGACTTCAGAAACTATTTTTAGACATTTTAACAACAATACTTTTATTTTATCTTCTTTTATCTAAATAAATATTAGAATTATTCAGTTTATTTCATGGTGAAAAAGAATTAAATTTATCAAGCCATACTTCAAAAATTAATAAGGTTCAATATTTTAATTATTTTGTCAAAGCTGTCTACATTTTTTTTTAATATTATAATGCAATGTTATGAAAGAAATAAAATATTCTGTTTGATATGCATTAATTACATATTTTATTGAATGTTGTTTACAGACTTCTATTCATTTCATCAGCCAAAGATTTAGATTGTTCTAATGTAAATCTTTGGTTGATGAAGGTTATATAAGTCCTGAAACACATACCAAGTTTCATAAAAAAAAAATTTAATAATTTATGTACAAAAAGGATTAGTTCCTTCTACTGCTCCAAAAAGACTCATCCTGCTAAGCTATGTCTTTACAAGAAATCATACCAAAATAAAAGTGCAACTGCCATATTTAGCTTCTTAGTACTCATTTTCTAGTCTTGATAGTTCAGAAGCATCTTAACAGCCTTGTGGGTGATGAATTATTCTCCACACTACAATCCTTTTTCCATAGATAATCCTACAAGCCTCTTGCTACTCTATCACTGTTTTAATGGCAAATGTTCTGTTGAGCTATATTCCTTAGTTTCACCAATACTGACAGCTAGGTACCACCATGCCACTGCACTAGAATGAATCATCATCATCATTTCTTGGGTGCAAAAAATGTTTTGTTCAAACAGCTTATTCCTAAGAAACACTATAGAAAAAAATCCCAAGAGGATGCTTCTCTGTTCACCACAATCATAACCTCTTTAAGTCTAGGATTAACAATTATTTTTAATATCTATCCTTATGAACTTTAGTTCTCCTCCAACAACCTCTTTCAGTAATCCTCTACCTTCAGTTGCTCTTTGGCCTTGTATTGGTTAACAATTCATAAAATGAATAAAAATATTTTTATTATTAGCTTTTTATATTACTCAATATTTTCATTGTTCTTTTTTTTCTTTTTCTTTTTTTTTTATTCTTGCAACTTTTGTTGCTTTGCACTTTCCCCTCTCAATTCAACTTTTATTAATCAGACATGGAAAAATTCTAACTATGATCAACATTTACTCATGTTTTTTAAAATCTTTCTCTTTTATTAGAGGCCTTTCGAGCTCCAATATTCCAAACAGGACCAGATAAAGATGGATTTAGTTTAGGCAAATCTAGCAACTTTATACAAGTATTTGGAGAAGAGAAATTTAAAGGAGTTCTTCCATTATTCACAAGGTAAGCATATTTTCTTAAAACTTACATGAACATATAGTGTGTGTGTTGTGAAATATTAGTATAATTTTAAAATACATCTAAGCTAGAATTGTTTCTTCACTATTTTCAAAATACTTCCAGTCTATGGAATTAATCGTATTTTTGTAATTGGTAGAGTAAATATATACAAGGTGCTACCCAGAAATATGAGAAATAGATAAGAAAATTAGCTTTTTTTTTCTCTTGTCTACATTAAATTAGTCACTTTGGTATGTTTAGTGAAATGTGGTTTTCCAAGTCTCTATGCCAGAAAGTTCTCAAATGTGACTGTTTCAAGCATTTATGATTTAACCTAAATCTTCATGATCATATTTCGAGTTATGCCATTTTAGCCGGAATTTAATTTTAGAAAATGGTTAGAACCAGAGAAGAAGAAATAGGCAATGGTTTTGGAAGCACAATACTTGTTCTTTCATTTTTGTTCTGTTCATCTTTGCAACCTTACAATAAAAAAAAATGGACCAGAAAGAATGAATTCTTTTTCAATATTTGTATGTTTTCTGCATGTGTGATTTTGATGGCTACTTTGTTTTACTCCTCCTTATGCCTTTGATGGGAGGCACATTTGGGTAATAAATATGGTTTGAATTGAGGAATTGGAGAGCTAAGTTTGAATTCCAGTCGAGTTCATTGCATTCACTTACATGCTAATACCCTTGGGAAAGGTAAGAATTCATCTTTCCCTTCCTCCCACAAAGTTATGGGTAAATAGTAGAACAGACTGGACCCTATAGATTTAGTTGCCAACCAGTCTAGGAGAAGGAAAACTCTGAATTCAAACCACTTGCTGTATTGTAGGTCCTACCTCTTTAGCAAAGGCTTAGAAGGTAACTTTTAAAAAAATCCAACTCTCATGTCATTTCAAAAGAAGGAACTGACCCCCCCCAATTACACATACATTTTGAGTTGCAACAGAAAATAATGGACTCCTCAGACTTAGCACAATGGTTCAAATAAACACAAAGCTGGGACATGGCACTATGGATCACTCTGATTTTGGGCGATTTGCCCTTGTGTACGGCACTTTAGATAATGACTTTGATGCCACTGGGATGCAATTCCTTCTTGGTTTGGTTTATGAGATTCTTAGCAGTCTTGCATAAATTTTGCAGTAATGCATTTTGATTTCAAAATACCTGCCAACCTCATATGACTCTCCTACAATGAATATGGATAATTTGCTAGCAATTTGTATGGTTAGTCTTTTATACATTTGCTGTATTTTTTGCTGTTGTGTTAATCAGAATGCTCTTTATATTTGTAATGTTTGTACTAAAAATAATTTTGCTTAAAACATTGCCAGCAAACACCTTTTTGCCTATAACATTGCCAGCAAACACCTTTTTGCCTATAACATTGCCAGCAAACACCTTTTTGCCTATAACGTTGCCAGCAAACGCCTTTTTGCCTATAACGTTGCCAGCAAACGCCTTTTTGCCTATAACGTTGCCAGCAAACGCCTTTTTTCCTATAACGTTGCCAGCAAACGCCTTTTTGCCTATAACAATGCCCGCAGACACCTTTTTGCCTATAACAATGCCCGCAGACACCTTTTTGCCTATAACAATGCCCACAGACACCTTTTTGCCTATAATAATGCCCGCAGACACCTTTTTGCCTATAACATTGCCCGCAGACACCTTTTTGCCTATACCATTGCCAGCAAACACCTTTTTGCCTATAACATTTAGTGCATTTATACAGTAGGTTTTTGTTTTTAAGGTTAAAGCAAATTCTAGATTTAAAAATTGCTGAAACCTTACAAAGGTACCTGTGACCAAGAACAAGACTTAAGTTTTCTTGTTCAATCTCACAATCAGAATGGCTCTGAAAGGAAAAGAGAAAAGGTCTGTACCACATTCAGTTTAATAGCACTATTCAACTTCTTTAAATTTTGGGATAGCACCTTGTTTATAGACTTTCTAATAAGGCTGATTCTTTTCTTTAATACATTTTATAACAAAAATTGCTGATATTAAAGACTTGTAATGCATTCTCTAATTATCTTGATTAATAAATAAAATTAACATTAAAAGAAAATTTAATATATATAACAAAATATAGTAAACATATTTATTGTATCTAGATGTATGAGATTTAAAAATAAAATAGCTATTAAGCACATTATACATGGGTACATATTTCCTGTTTAACATGGTAAATATATAAGATTAGAAATTTATTACAAAAAATAAAAATATTTTATTTCAAGACTTCTAAAAGCTAATATTACACATTTTCTTGTATGAATTCTCTTGTCCTTTACAAGACTCTCTCCTCTAATTCACAAACATCAAATTCATATGTTGGACATACAGCTACTACACTATCCTATATATTAATTTGCCATTTGTGCTCAGTAGTAAACACTGAATGCTAGGCAATGGCATTTATTCTAGTAGATGGCAAACACTCAAACAGTACATATTGTTATGGACAATTACCAGAGCATAAAGTTTAAAAAGAAAAGATAAAAAACAACTTGCCATCTAGAAGACGCCAGTTTTACCATTCTATAGTGGTCAGATTCTTCACAGTCAAATAAACAAATTCAGAATGATAACCAATAATAACAAACGACAAAACACCAATATACAAATTAACAAGATTTAATTATAACTAGAATGAAAAACATTTAGGCAAGAAAATGCATGGAATGATGTATGCTATACATTTCTGTGTGAAAAGATGCATGTTATTTTGTGAGAATAAGTGTTGAAACAAAAGCTTCATTTCTTCTTTTGAAATAAAATAAGATTTTCTTTTCCCTTTTCTTTCTCTTTTTATTATGTTTCTCTTTGTACTTTTTACTTTAAAATTAATTTGTTTGCTCAAGTAGCAGTGTCCTTTATCCAATACTTGCTCAAATAGTGGTCTTCTTTCTTCAATGTTGCCATTGTTAGTCAGTTGTGAAGATTTATTTGGCTATGGAGATTTGGCGCTATATGAGTCATATATACTTAGCTGTGCAGAATTCATAGTTCAAATCCATTGTCCAGTTGAGGATATCACATGCCTTTCTTTGGTGACTGTCACATTTTGCCATTCATCTACACCTTTAATGCAAGCAGGATATTGTTGAGTTGAATTGGAGTTCGTCTTTTATCATTTAATCACTCTTCTTGACTGTAACAAGTAGAAGAGATCTTATTTGCAGAGGACTCATTCTGCCTGATTTTGTTCTTGGAGTTTATGTGAGTTGGGGATAGCATTCCTTCTCTTCAATTTGGAAAATCAATTCAATGAGAATTTAATAGATGATCTGTCTCCTTTGAACTTCATTATCCCAACTGGTTTCTGCCTATCTTTTCTCATTTGATCATTCGTGTTTGGTCATGCGATTTGTCATGTGTATGAGAATTTATTTTTAGCTTCAGTTTCTGTGGCTGTCAGTTCCTTTTGACCTAATTGGCTTTGCATTCAGTAACTGCTATTATATATCCAAAGAGATGGATCATTAAGTGTAGATTGTGTGTGTGGGTATGAGGTGTGAGTCGCAGAAAGCCATAACAGTATATATTATCCAATATTAATTGTAAAAATTTTTAAAAAGTCAAATTCTTGCAGCCTTTACCATAAAAACAAAGAAACTCAAACCTAAGATTTTCACTTTGGGAACTGTGGTTTTAAATGTAATTAGATGATTTAACTCTGTGTAAAATTACACTTTAATGTTCTTCTGTGCATGATGTCATCATAATGCATAAATAGCAATTGCCATGTTTTAAAATTATCCATTAAACACATTTTCCAAAGTGCTCAGTGAAAAAATAGCCATGTATCCATCTTCCATTAAAATTTTGTCTCTCAAAAACTACTCTTCTTTTCTTAGTTCCTATGGGCTTGTTTTTGTTCAGATGTCTTTTCAAAAGTCTTTTTTGACTTCTGGAAAGGAAAGAAAAAAAGTATAGTAATTGAGTTATGTTTAAGTTGGCAAACCAGACTAAAATCCTTCGACAGCCGGATGTAGCTGACCCCTGATTAAATGTATAACAACCAGTTTTCTTTGATTTTGATAATGGTTTGGTTGAAAGTGCTATATCACAAATGTTTGGATAATATTGACATTTATTGGATCCAGACATATACTCTCTTATACGTAAACAGGAAAAAAAATAACTAAATGAAAAATTTTAAAATTTGTATTGATGAAAGGCTGTTGCTTTATATAAATATAAACAAAATAAATACTTTTTAAAAGAAAATATAGGATCTACTCAAATGCAGGTATCCACTAAAAATATCATTTGCAGTAATAAAAATGTTTGATTTAAAAATTAAAATCCATTGATATTATATCCCAGGTTGTTGGGATGAACAAAAACATAATAAAACAACTTTTATTCATTTACTGCATGAGAACAGCCAGGATTAGCTTTGATTTAAACCATGGATTCCATGTGCATATCAGCTTGCCACCATTTTGAATTCAGAAGTGCCATGCTCCAACTAGTGGACATGGGAAGTAACTCAGTTGTATTTTGAGTTATCATCCTTTATGAGTGAAATAAATTAGCATCCCCTAACAATGTGTGTATGTATATGTGTACACACACCCATACTATTATACTGAAGGATAGAATTTAATAACAGTGATGTTAAACTTATCTTGAATTTTCAAAATTTGTGCAGTGCAAGTTTTTTAAAATTTGAATTGAAGAATTGAAGAAATTTTATTCCCATGTCAATTTCAAAAGTAAAAAGTTCTCTAATCAGCGGGTGTGTGAATTCATGCTGAAAAAATATACACATTTACACAGGACACATAAAGTATCTATGTGGGAACTATGTTTGTCTAAATTATTGCCAAAAGTAAGAAGTTTGAGAATCAAATTTGACTCAAAGAAAATATAGATGGGAAGGATGATAGAACAGAAAATGTGCCTTAGGATAGGCTAGAAAATACATCTTTGAAAAAAAATAATGTTGTTATTTTTAAAGTTTACATGACCTGTATCTCT